CTCCCTCTCAATGTTTTTCAGTCTAGTTTAAAAACTCACTTTTATTCCCTGACTTTAGACCCTGTACAAGTTGATTTTAACTTCTCTGTATTTTATAATTTTAGTCATTTAGTTTTTTATCTTTACGTCTGTGGATCTGTGTATTTTATGCTGTGTTCTTTGCTTGTTATGGATTTTTTTTTTTCTGTACAGAACTTTGGTTGGCCTTGTTTCTGTGTTTAAGTGCTTTATGAATAAAGTGGTGAGTACAAGATAACTACTCACTTCACAAAACAAACAGTCTCTGTAAGTATCAAGTACTTTCCAGGTAAATAACTACTAAGTACTAAGTATCAAGTACACACCCCAAAATCCCTAATCAAGCCCTAATCAGGATTTTCACTGTGAAAAAGAAAATCACTGTAATGCCACTTTGATTGTTGATATGTGCTGCTGATTATCCATGCTGCTGATCTCATGCTGCTGATTTATTTCATGCCGTTGTATTCATTCGTTCTCCTCTACTCACACAGACTCATGTTCATGCCGCCTGTTTCTTTTATAATGTATATTTTTGCTGTTGTTGGTTGTAACTGGGACCTTGAGTACACAATTTTGTTCCACCTCATGTGCCACGAGTGGTGAGAATGACAAAGAACCTTGAACCAAAAGTACCAGGACGTCAAAAGTCAAATATTCTCTACTATTCCCCAAAGCCTTTTTTTTATTTTTACATTTGTCATAAATGTTTGTTGATTCCTCAACTGATTAGGAGCTATTAGACTGACATTGTTCTTTCTAGGAAATGTTGGCCTGCAGAAAACCAAACAAACAGTAAAAGCAAAAGAACATAACCAGTTCTCATGTGTGTGTGAACAAGATGGTTGGAGATTGGTTTTGGTTTCCTGGGGATAAGAGGAGAATTGCTTCCATTGCCCCTGAACACTCTTTTAAAGAAAGCCAATTGAAAAGGTCTTGTTTCTCAGCTCCCACAAGTGTTGTTGTGCTCTCTATAATATTCTCCAAATGTGTCTCGTGGCACCTGAATTATGAACTTTAACTTTTTCCCACTGTTTTTTCAACATATTGGTAGAAAACAAGATGAAAGTGGAGGATGGGAAATGGGTCCACATATTTTCCTCGCTCCAACATGCAAATATATCCATGAATTTTGTCCCAGATTTACTTTGTTAGTATTTTTAATCACTGAGCACGATCAAAGCAAGTAAAAAAAAAAATAAATAAAACAAATTAGATTTTTCTATAAACCACTTCCAAAAAGCCTTTGAAAAACATGAGGTAACTCAAACTGTGGGCTCAAAACTAACCCAACCAAGAGGGAATTAAATGCTGGAGCCAATTAATTAAGCTGATAGTGTATAAATCACAGAATGCAGTAAACAAAATAATTTGAGGGAAATTGATTTGTCAGTCTTTGCATAAAAAAAATAAAAATAAATTATCAATCTTTACTTTGACAGTTTGTTCCATTTATATTGTGTGAATGTTTTTTTTTTCTTAGATCAAAAACTTGTTCTTAGGTTTGCATCGTTCAACGATCAAACCTAAGAACAAGAATAAACTGTTTGCCGATAACACTACTGAATGATAAATCGAGGTCCTCGTATTGGTTCTGCCGGGTCTCAGATGGAGCGCAGAGAAGTCAATACTGTTTATCTAGAGGAAGTATGAGCTGCAACAAGGTCCCTGACACCATCTGGCACCCCACACTCTCCTGCAGAAATACAGATGTCCATCGTTACTATGACTTTGAAGAGATACCAAGAAACGGGAGCGCATTCATTCCTTCATGCTGTGATGCAATTAGGTGAAAAAAAAATCATCAAATTATCTGTAAAGACAATGAGATGTCCTTTGACCACTGATGCACCAAAGATTTGTTCACTCGAGCTAATGGCTTCACTGACGGTGGTCTCACACTGAGCTCAGAGAATCGTGATTATAAACATTAAAATTTGAGAAAATTGGACAGAAATATGAATTTTCTGCTGAAGTCTGCTTGAATTCAGAGTTTGTGGTCAAACTGTGTGATGTCCACCTCCCCCCACATTCTGCATGAGTACACTTTTAAAATGAATCCAGCCAGATTTGAATAATTCAAGAATAATAAGTATTATCATCATCAGTGTGGCATGTACACCTGGACATTTACTTTTAAACCTTTTAACTTTTTGTTCTTGCTTGCCCTCGGCAAAAGCAAACATTTCCTCCTTCGCTGCTCCGTGCCTCGAGCACCCAGACTCAGTTGTTTTGCAAACTGAACCGCAAATTCGATGTGATTTGTGAGAATCGCAGGCCACCTGCGGCCCCTAGGATTCACTGGCAGGATGGATCAGATCTCGGGGAATACTCTCGGGCACGGACCAGTGGTGTGTCCACTTAATTTGGACATTTGGAATTAGAGAGGACCAGCAAAGACTCAAGGCAGACATGAATCAGTAAAGTTCTGCCTGTTTCCAAAACAAATGCTGTTTGTCTGAACTCAGCTCCTCGGCTGGCCTTAACAAAACACCTTATCTCAAATTGCCTGGAGGCCTTGTAAATTTGATACTCTGCCCCCTCCCTTCCCCTCTCACCGAGGAAATCTGTAGGGATGGGGCAGATCCGATCCAGTATCGGTATCAGGCTCTAATACCAGTATAATTTACAAAGTACTTATCGGATTTTTATGATTCAACCTGCAGAGATTTTCGATCCATGATGCATGTCTGCGTCTCCAAGCAAAACTTCTCCACATTGATTCCCTGCCAGCTACGTTGAACGTTGGCTTCAAACTATGGAATGGATTTCCTGAACGGTGGCGTGTCTCATGAATCCAGAGTAATAAGACCCGCATCACATTCAGGAAATCCAGTTCATAGTTTGCAGCCAGCTAAAACGTGCAGTAGCACTTTGGCTAATGGCTAACCAACTTTTCATCGAAACATGTCCACTGTGTGGAAGTATTTTACACTAGAAACACCACAAAACAAGACAGCAATGTGCAATGCCTGCAGAGCCATAGTGCCACATTAAACCACGGTAAAGTTAGTTTTACGTTGGACATTTGAGTTCCGTGGTTTCAGCGGTCTGCTATATTTCGTTCAGTCCGGAGAAGGCAGTCTAATTTCGGTCAGCCCCACTCAGTCTGCCCCTCCTCCAAGATGGAGGAGTACTTGCCTATAAAGAGATTACTACAGCCTCATAAAATCAATAATGATGATGATATCGGGACGGTATCGGCCGATATCCAGATTTAGGTATCGGGATCGGATCGGAAGTTTAAAAATGTGGATTGCTGCCTCCCTAGAAATCTGTGGACCTACCAGAGGGACCCGGCTGCATAAACATTTCGTCATCATTTCAGGACTCTGATTCCCTCTGATGCTGTCCTAGGTTGACCTCGGCACCCCCATCTGTTTACAGATCTCACCATTTGGAACTGATTGTACCATTCTTATCAGAACTCCTGCAAAGCCTCTGGAGTGTCCTTGGACATGCTCACCGCTCTTGTCAATGTCAATTTATTTATATAGCACATAAAAACAACCAAAGCTGACCAAAGTGCTTTACAGTTAAGACATAAAAAGAGTAAAAATGCATCTAGTGCCACTCAGAAACATAAGAAAGTTAACAGTAAATACACAACAATAAAATCAGCTCAAAATATGTTCTCAGACTCTGCATGGATCAAATGCCAAGGAATCCAAATGACTCTTCAGCGAAGATTTAAAAGTCTCAACAGTCTGAGCAGTCTTTAAATTCTCGGGTAAACTGTTCCACAATTTTTGGAGCAGCAACCGCAAAAGACCGATCACCTCTGGATTTCAATTTGGATCTGGGGACATCTAAGAGGAACTGGCTGGTAGACCGGAGTGCTCCTACTGGACTGTAGATGTTAAAAAGATCACTGTGCGTTTATGTGCGGGGTGTTTTTTCCCCAATCTCAGGCTCTCTCCTCACCCAGGGAGTGAGTTTGAGAGGATTTTTTTTTTTACCTCCTAATCCTATAGATGTGTCACTTTCATTACTTTTTGTCTGTCTAAACAGATCTTACTTGTAAATGAGTCTTCAAGGCTCAGTGTGATTTATCTGTATAAATAAAGGTTGAAAAAAACAGTTTCAACAGAAATTTTGATGCACACATTTGTGACATTATTAAAACTCAAGTGACTGAACTGCAACCTTCCATAACTGATGTGAGGAAGATGAGAAACCTGCAAAAATCCTTAGACATTTTGGAAATGTCCTCATGAGTGCTGGTCACAGTCAAAATCCGATGTCATCAGCTAAATAAGTTATCAAACATCTTACTGTGCAACAGCCTGATAGATGCAGACAGCAAAAGGCAGAACTAATCGATGGAATCATAGATGATAAAAAGTAGTACTGTTGGCAAAGTGAAACAAAGAACAAGAGTCTTCTTTCAACAAAGAAGAATGTGCCCAGAGAACTGACTAACCTTGTTAGAACAAGAGAACGTTTACAGACAAGATAAACAGAAATAAGTTATTTATGCAGAACGAAGAGTACAGGCGAAACAAAAGTTATAAAAATTTGCACCGTAGTGGACTGATTATTGGATACTAATTCAATCTCAGCACCTAATATATTATTATAAAATATTATTATGAACATAACTAATCGAGTCTGTTCGTTTGATACACGTTGGTGCAGAAAGATGACCAGCAATCCATTTTGAAAGGAATGTTTTGTAGAAACCCATTTGAAACACCATTACCTGCATCATATTCACTGGTTTCTATTCTCCATTAAATGCATGTTTATCAGCTGACCTTCTATCAGCCCAAGATCTAATTAACGAACCAGAGTTTGTAACCACCTGACTAAAAGTCATGATTGCATGTTAGAGGATGGGAATGAGGAAGTCAGATGGTCCTGCAGCCCAATGAACAAGACACTACAGAATGTTCTGATGTTCAGAGAAGACACATGATCCTCTCGTGTCACTCAGCAACCCTCACCTTCACACTCACTAACACGTGGAGCTGCCGACTCACCGGTGATGCAGAGGCTGAAACGACACAGTTCATCACACAGGGTGTCCGGGCTCTCCAGATCTCCTGGTCCCCTCTCGCTCCTCTTCTTCCTCGGTGACATCCTCTTCACCATCTTCATTACTCTCTCCACTTTGTCCATCCTGGACAACAAAGTTCTGCTGATGTATCCTTTAATTTTGAATCTCGTGCCAACTCGTCTCTCTTTTCTTCTTTGTTTTTTTGTCGTACTCGTCTTCAGTTTTGTTGGCTTTCTTCTTGCCGTTTGTTTCCTGAATCCTGGTAAGTTTCTCCTCCCTACCTCCTCCTGTCCTCCTGTTCTAGTCTCCTTTCTCCTCTCTCTCCACAGTCGTATCTCTTGAGTTTCCCCTCGTTCCAGTGCAGCACCTTCTGTCACACGTCACCAGCCTCTTCTTCTTCAGCTCACACAAACATCCAGACTTGAACTATGAGAGTCTCAGAGAGGTAATAAACCAGGGGAGAGACAGGGAGAGGCTGCACATTTAACTCCCCCCTCCATCCCTTTATCTCCCTCCCTCCATGCACAGCAGCACACGTCCTCCCTGCAACACCCCCACATCTGAGCCTCAAAACTCTGACACTGCTTTGTTTTATCGTTTCCCATAAAAAGAAAAAAAATTAAGACATCAAGGTGCACCCTCTTTGTTTTTCATCTCTCTCTCTCTCACACACACACACACACACACACACACACACACACACACACACACACACACACACACACACACACACACACACACACACACTCACACACACACTCACGACTTTAATCTGCCGTGTTTCTCTGGCTTTCATTTTGTCTTTCTAAAATTATTCCTCATCTGCCTCAGTCATTCATGGTTCTACCTATTTATTCTTCTGTCCCACCTGGATCTGTTCATCCCGTTCAGTTTCATCCTTCCTCTCCATCTTTACCAGTTCAGCCAGGTTTCAGAAAAACACATGAAATGAGCAATATGCCTTTTAACTGCACATCTCAGGCTAATGTGTTGAAAAGCACCCAGCTTCTCCTCAGCTGTCAGGCTGACACATTCCACTTTGAAATGTAAATGACACCAGAACTTTCTGAAAAATTCCCTCTGTAGCTGTTCTGGTGGAAGTGGGCTTCCCAGTCCATCCTCTGAGCGTGGCTGTGGGGGCAGGAAGGGAACGCACACAAACAAAAGAAACGCCCCGCCTGGATCAGTCAGTATACAAAGGGAAGCATAAAAACAAACACAAGTAATTAAAGCAATAATAATAATAATAATAATATTAATAACAATAATAATAATAATAATAACAAAGGCGAGGAGACAGCTCATGAACAATTTAGACAAGGTGGTCAGCAGAAGCAAACGCTTCAGGCAGAACAAATAAAGCAGCAGCTGAAGAAACGCCCTGGTGAGTCGTAACGATTATCTCTTTTTTAATTACCTACGGAAGAAGCGGCTAACGATAACGGATGGATGAGTTGCCTACCATCAAAGGCTAAAGGGCGATAATGTTTTTGCCCATATTGTCTGTTCTGTTTTTTATTGTTTAAGCAAAATATTTTACAAACAACTGCACAGAGTTTAATAAACGTCTCATAAAGTCATTATTTTATGTACTACAACAAATGAACTTTTTGTTCATGTCATGAGTGTGCCAGCACAGCTAGCCGACCTCAGCCAAGACAAAAGCTATGATTTAAAGAAACTGGGCAAAAGTTTGACGTGGTAGCAGCCGAGTCATCCTAAGATGTACTCTGAGGACTACCAGATCTCACCGTGTTACAAGAGATTGCAGAAACCATTACAAGGTTCATGTACAGGGTTTACATAGGTAATGTAGGTCAGAGCATCCCTGCTGCATCCTTACATCTCTACGCTGATGATACAGTTGTTTATTGTCGAGCTGAAACAGTTGATAAGGTTTTCCAGTTTTTACAGTCTGCTTTCTACATCATCCAGTCAGAATTGTTCCATCTCAAACTGGTCCTAAACGTCAACAAAACCAAAGGGATGATGTTTTCAAACAGGAAGTCGGTCCCAGCAGTTCTTCCTTTGATTTTATATTCGAATGGTGTCCCTACTGAGTTTGTCCATCCATTCATTATCTTTTACCCACTTCTTCCATTTTTGGGTCACGGGGGTCGCTGGTGCCCATGTCCAGCAATCACTGTGCGAGGGGCGAGGTACACCCTGGACAGGTCTCCAGTCCATCACAGGGACACATTGAGACAAACGAGACAAACAAATATTCACTCTCTCACCTAGGGACAATTTAGAGCCACCAATCAGTCTAGCATGCATGTTTTTGGTCTGTGGGAGGAAACGATTGCACGGAGAAACCACACGCAGCACGGAGAGAACATGCAAACTCCACCTAGAAAGGCCTCCGGACTGGGGATTTGAACTGGGGACCTGCTTGCTGAGAGGCAGCAGCTCTACCAGTTGTGCACTGAGTTTGTTGATTCCTACAATTATTCATGTATCTTGGTCGATTCTCATCTCACTTTTAAGCTCCATGTGGAAAACTTGGTAAAGAAGCTGAAAGTTAAACTGGGTTTGTTTTTCAGAGACAGATCCTGTCGAACTCTGAATGTTAAGAAACACCTTGTATCTGTGACTTTCATTCCCTCCATTGATTACGGTGACATTATTTACATGAACGCTCCTACAAGAACCCTGCAGATGTTGGATGCTGCAGATGTTGGATGCTGCAGATGTTGGATGCTGCAGATGTTGGACGCTGCAGATGTTGGATGCTGCAGATGTTGGATGCTGCAGATGTTGGATGCTGCAGATGTTGGACGCTGCAGATGTTGGACGCTGCAGATGTTGGATGCTGCAGATGTTGGATGCTGCAGATGTTGGACGCTGCAGATGTTGGACGCTGCAGATGTTGGATGCTGCAGATGTTGGATGCTGTCTATCATGGTGCACTAAGATTCATAACTGGCTGTAACTACCGTACCCACCACTGCACCCAGTATTCACTGGTTAACTGGTCACCATTAACTTCACACAGACTCTCTCACTGGTACATCTTCATCTTTAAATCACTTCTTGGTCTGCTGCCTTCATACATCTCCTCCTACATGTCTCTGTGTGAGTGCAGCTACAGCGTGCGCTCTCAGGACATCATTACCTGCAGTGTTCCCTCAGTGAGGACTGAACTAGACAAAAGGACCTTCTCCTACTCCGCTCCTGTTTCCTGGAACATCTTGTAAAAAGATCTGAAGCTCTCGACCTTTGACCTCTCTAAGTGTCTTTAAGAATCTGTTGGACTCCTGGCAGGGACCAATGCAGACATGTTCCTGTTTTTAGTTTTTTATTTCTCTTTGTAATGCAGCTGTTTTTGTTTCGTTTTTTTTAAACATCATTTTCTTCCATTTACTTTTCCCAATTTGTATGTCTTCTTTTATGACTATCTACTGTCATCACTCTTTGTTAAATCAGGTTTCTTTTGTAAATGAGTCCTCGAGGCTCAGTGAGACTAACCTGTAGAAATAACGGTTGAATGAATATAAACAGCTGTCCTTCGTTTCTTTAACATCACATTTTAGGCTAAAGTTAAAACCAAATATTGGGGGAGTGGTGGCACAGAGGTTAGAAGATGGGCTTGCGATCAGAAAGTCGTAGGTTCACCTCCCGGTACCGTCAACATCAAAAAATGTGGGTGGAAAAGGTGAAACACCCACACCTGCCTCCACCCTCATTCGCCCCACTCTGGGCCCCTGAGCAAGGCCCTTAACCCCCATCATCTGCTCCCTAAACAGGTCTCTCTTGAAAATGAGTTCTCGTGGCTCAATGAGACTACCTGGATAAATAAAGGGTAAATGAAAAAAATACATATTGAGAGAAAGAAATGATTGTTTCCTGTTTTCTACGCATGTGGTGTTTGTATTTGTTGGATAGAATTATCCTCTCATCTTGTTCCAAGAAGCCACACTCGAGGGCACGAGAAGAATTTTAACTGGTTTCACAGGCAAGGACAGACTTTCACAACTGGTTACACAGATGTTCAGAAGTTCTACACGCCTGGAGCCCAGTCATGAGTATCTGCCTCAGGCAGCGTGCGAGAATTGTTTTTATAAACTTATCAGCTCCGGGATCAGAGGCCGACACTGATGACCTCAGCCACACAGCTGAACATGCAGGATGAAATCAGCTCCTCGTTCAGTCCTCTGACAAAGGAAAGAACTCTCTATTAACGCAACACGTGGTTCATGGGCAGTTAACATTCTCTGCCATAGATCAAAAATCTCCTGACGGTATTGACACTATGTTCCTCTTAAATTAAATTCAGTTTTAATAAGAATGTTGTGTTTCCTGCAGCACGGTGGCTCAGTTGGTAGAGCTGTTGCTTCTCAGTGAGAAAGTTGCCAGAGCTGTTGCTTCTCAGTGAGAAAGTTGCCAGAGCTGTTGCTTCTCAGTGAGAAAGTTGCCAGAGCTGTTGCTTCTCAGTGAGAAAGTTGCCAGATCTAATCCCAGTCGGAAGTCTTTCTGGGTGGAGTTTGCATGTTCTCTCCGTGTGTGGGGGTTTTCTTCAGATAGTCCGGTTTCCTAGCACAGAACAAAACATGCAAGTTAGGCTAAAATTGAACTCTAAATTATTTTTAGTTAATGATCTGCTACTTGGGCAGCATGGTGGTGCAACTGGTAGAGCTGCTGCCTCTCAGCGAGAAGGTCCTTGGTTCAAACCCCGGTCCAGGGGCCTTTCTGGGTGGAGTTTGCATGTTCTCTCCGTGCATGCGTGGGTTTTCTCCGGGTGCTCCAGTTTCCTCCCACAGACCAAAAACATGCATGTTAGGCTGATTGGTAACTCTAAATTGTCCCTAGGTGTGAGTGAGAGAGTGAATGGTTGTTTGTCTCGTTTGTCTCTATGTGTCCCTGTGATGGACTTGCGACCCGTCCAGGGTGTCCCCCGCCCCTCGCACAGTGATTGCTGGACATGGGCACCAGCGACCCCCGTGACCCAAAATGGAATAAACGGGTAAAGATAATGGATGGATGGATGGATGGATGGATGGATGGATGGATGGATGGATCTGCTACTTTAAGCTTTTAAAAAATGTTTGTTGCTTTTTCTTTAAAAACTCATTTTCAGCTTTTTCACTGCACTTCAGTCGACTCTCAGCGCTCAGCATTCATGTTCCATGTTGGAAGAAATGTTTCTACTTTAGCTTTTTCAGTTTTTCCTTTCTTCTGATCTCCCAGCCTC